TCAACATCTGCCTCACCAGTAACTCTACCATCAGGTCCAATTTCAATGTGTACTCTCATGGGGTTAAGAGGTGAGAAAAAATTGTAAATATCATTCTCAGTAGCTCTGTAAGGTAATCCCCTCATGTGTACACAGTGCCCTGTGGTGCTCTGGAAACTGGATCCACCATCTCCGTATCTATGATCAGACATTCCTGAAAAACAATAATTGAGGTCTCTTCCAAATCTATCAGACCCAAAGCCATAGCCATCATTATAGCCACCATAATCATCATAGCCTCCATACCCTCCACCATAGGCACCCCGCCTCATCCTTTCAAACCCAGCCCCTCTGCCAATACTATTATACCCTCTGCCAGTCCCTGGCCTATCATAGGGACCTGGTCGTTGCATAGCCATGAGCTTCCGAGGGGGGTCATAGTGGGTTCGGACTTCAGCTCGGCTACTCTTAAAGATTTCAATGTACCTGTGTCCTATTCTTTCCTTGTGTTTCTTTAAGGCCTTTTCAGCTATCTCCTGTGAAGCAAACTGCACAAAGGCCTCCCCTGTGCTCCGCCCCTGAAAGTCCACTGGTAGTGTCATCCCATTTGGCACAATTTCCAGCCCTGAAAAAAACTGAACAATCTCCTCCTTGCTACAGCCAAACGGGAGTCCTCTAAGCCGGACGAAGCCATCATTGGCAGTATCAGGACTATTCGGACCCGTATGCTTCAATACCCAATCCATTTCAACACTATTGGACTTGAATACTTCAACATATCTGTGTCCCATGGTTTCTCTGTCCTTCTTCAAAGCCAGTTTCACTTCATCTTCCGATTCAAGTTCGACAAATGCTTCACCACTTGGTCTGCCTTCTCTGGTGTAGATGAAACGAATACCTGATGTGCCATTTTGGATTTTGCAATCGGAGAAGAAGCGCATCACTTCATCAGCAGAGCAGGACCAGGGTAGGCCCCTGACCTTCACCACGAAACCCTCCCTGCCTTCTGTGCCCAGCATCATGGTGACTGTTAGGCTCTTGGTAGCAAGCTCAGCTCAATGCAAACACAGTGTAGCTGAAAAAAAATGAGAACACTATTATCATGGAAAAATGTTCACAATATAATAATAGAAAAAAGAAAACTATTGATACAAAATTCAAATACACTGATAGCTTTTTTTTTTTTTGGTAAGACATTCATATAAACAAAAAGACTGCACCAAATTTCTAATTCATTCAACAATTATTTATTTGATACCTATTTGATACTTTTATTATGTGTTAGATATCATTAATGGTTATTTCTGGGTGGTAGAATTATAGGAGCTTTTTGTGTCAGGGAATGTTTTCTTTGGAAATTTCAGTATATTCTAAGATTTCTACATTGCCCATATATGGTTGTAACACCATAGTCAAAAGAAAAATGAGTAAAAATTAACATCAAGAAAATCAGTGGAAGATGGCAACAAATTAAAAAATGGCTACATACGATTACATAAAAATGAAAAACTTCATTACATCAAAAGATTAAACAGAATTAAGACAATACACTTGAGAAGATAACTGCAAAAATGTATTAATACCCTTATATAAAGAACTCATAAGTTAATAAAATCACAGGAATATTAAGGCCTAAGAAATAAATGGAAAAAATACCTTATGGGGAATTCATGCATTCATTTTACATTTTTCAGCTGCCAGGTCCAGTATTCGGTTCTGGCATATAAGGATCTATAAGCCCAACAAGGACTTATGGTCCTAAGGGGGAACTGTTCCTCTTTACTAAAAACAAAAAAGGCAAATAAACATTATCTCTGCTATGAGAGAATTCTGTGCAGGTTTAAAGAGTGGTATTAAAGCAGGGCATGGTTGGTCAATTCTATCAGTTGGCACAGAATAATTAAATGAAACAGAGTAACTGGTTCAGGGGTCCATAAATTTTTTTAAAAATTATGATGGAGCATAAAATAGGAAGAGGCAAGGCAGGAAATAAGGCACGCAAGGTAGAGGTCAGATCCCAAAGGCCTTAGTTGACAGACAAACCCTAAGAGCCTTTAATAGGCGAGTGAGGGGAGGGGAGTGAGGGGACGAAACTGACATCTTCAGAACCCTTTCAGATAGATCACCCTGGCAACAGTGTGGCACTCAAATAGAGGGGGTTGAGGTGACAGTAGCTAGAACCCTGATCTCCCAGAGATATGTTAAGGATTTACCTAAGGCAACAGCAGTTTTTTAAAAGGAGGAAGATGTTATCTAGGCATTCAAAGCAGTGGACTCTGTGGGACTTAATAACATGTAGGGGAATAGATATATGAGGATACAGGAAAGGAGTCTAGGAAATGTTCAAACCTCATCAATCACCAGAAATGCACATTAGAACCAGAATTAATTGCCACTTTTCACCCATCAAGATAGTGAAAACTACACAGTGAGGATAAGTCTATGCTTATATTCAGGGTTCACAAACTAACACATACCCGGAAGAATGAAAGTTGGTACAGTATTTCTGGAAAGCAATTTGAAAATATGTATCATGTCTTTTGATACAGTAAATCCACTTCAGGTTATGTGCCCTAAGGAGGTGATCTGAAATTCAGACAAAGCTTTATGGAGCAATATATTCAATGCAAGGTGTTTTATTAAGAAAGATAGAGCCCTGGCCGGTGTGGCTCAGTTAGTTGGAGCACTGTTCCGTACACCCAAAGGTTGCAGGTTCGATTCCCGGTCAGGGCACATACCTAGGTTGAGGGTTCGATCCCCGGTCCGGGCACGTATGATCCCCGGTCCCGGAGCGTACAGGAGACAACCAATCGATGTTTCTTTCTCACATCGATGTTCGTTCTCTCTCTCTCTCTCTCTCTCTCCCCCTTCCTCTCTCTCTAAAAGCAATGAAAAAATGTCCTTGGGTGAGGATAAAAAAATAAAAAAGAATATTACATACTTAATTTTAAAAAATATAAAAATATTTAATAACATGAGAAATTATTTATGTTATAATCCTAAGTGACCGAAGATAACAGCTACTATATAGTCTCAACTATGTGAAAAACATATTCTTCAACCCTGCTAGAATTCCTTCCAGAGCCTGGTCAACTGAAATACTCACAAATGTTCACTGCAGCACTGTTAGTAATTGCAGAAAATTAGAAACTTAACTATCCATCCACAGAGCTATAAGTGAATGAATTATACTTTATCCTTAAAATGGAATGCTACAAAGCTTTTACAAAAGATGCCCTGACCTAGGATTTCCAAAATACATTAGATGAAAGAATATGTATAGTATGACCCTACTTATTTTAAAATATAACATGCATGTATATATGTTTGCAAATGCATACAGTAAGATCTGGAAGCATGTAATACAAACTTGTTTTTTGAGAAAACACCTGGAAAGTAGGAAGAGTGAAGTGGATTTTCACTTCTTACCCTAACTACTACTACATAGGTTTAATTTTTAAAAATCACTGTAACTGGAATTTAAAAAACGTTAGGAAAAATATATGCATGGGGAATGTGTCAAAAGTTAAAAGTGGTTTTGGACTGGTAGGCTTATGCTTTTTAAATTTCATTTAAAAACTTTGGCGCCCTCTTAATTTCACACAGAGTAATTACTTTATTTCAGCAAAAATAACAAATTAAAATGTTTCCTTTTTTAAGATTTGGTATAGCAAATTTTATTAAAGTTTCTAATTTGGTATGTGGGTGGCTTATCTGACCTGGTGTGGAAACACTGAGCCTCTTAGAAAGCACAAAGTATACTAACTGCCATAAAACTACAGAGGATTCAATTCGACAAATACTGACCATTACGTGCCTTTCACATTGAATCCGCAATGTTAAGAGTCTTCCTATAAGCCATCTTCAGATCTGAGCGATAGATTTTCAGCTTAGCTTTTCGCCTGTCTTAGCTCTTGGATCACCCACCCCCTTTAACGTCCCTGCAGCAATCTGGGGCTTCACATCCTCTCTGTAGTGGAAGGGAGGTTCTGCTTCCTTACTTTATCTCCTGAGAAGGCCACTTCTCTGCTGGCCGAAGTAGGAACCAGGATTCCATTTGTGTGTTAAGAATTTGTCTATTTACACGTGTGTTATACACTTACATTTTATACAGCACAATGCTGAACAGCTGCCTCTAGGTGATTAATTATGACTGTATTTTTAAAAACTTATAGTATGCTGTTATTTTTCAAATGTCCAAAATTGAAAATTGCTGTTATAAGCAGAAAAATTAACGTTATTTAAATATTCATCTCAGTAAAAACATTTATTGGGGGCCTCCGTCAGGCATGTAACATTTACCTAGATGTGATTTTACATATAAAATTGACTCGGTGCCTCTCCCTACAGGCAGACAATCAGGCAGTGGCGATTGGGTACCTAAAAGGATGGACCAGCACTCAGATAACTGGTCTCAATATGTTTTTCCTAATCCACGGACGTGGTTTTTAAACGTTTTTCACCTTAAGGTTTCTCTTAAGGGTCCTCTGAGACCCGCCCAGACAGAGAGAGACACAAAAACCATACACAGTCACGAACGTCCACCATTTCCCCACCAGGCGCAGCAGCGGCAGCTTCCCGGCACTGAGATGGGGGAATGGGGGGCGGGGAAGGGGAAAAAGCAAGGAGCGAGAAAAGCGAAGGCGGCCCATGGTCCCCGCTTTCATCTTCATCATCCCCACCCCTGGGTCCCCAGTTCCCACCTACACACCAACCTCTAAAGATGCCGGACGATGTTCCTCCTTCTTCCCTCAAACGGCTATAGCAGGACGGTAGACGACGACCAGAACTACTTCTGCTCACGTAAGCGACTGATCACGTGAGGATCTACGTCATGTGAGATCCCAGTCACGTGAACAACACTTGGCTTAAACTCGGAATCACTAAAGTACCACACTTCCTTCTGGAACGAAAATAGGGCAGGCCAATGTCAAGGAAGAAAGAGTGTGATTGGTTGTGGTGCGTCTTACGTGACTGATCATTGGTCCGCCTCTGGGATAACCGTCCCAGTTGCCGGAGAAACAACGTCATTACTTAACTCCAATGATTGGCCCACCCCTAAGCTTGAATTTAAAAGCCCAGTATACCGGGGAACTATGTTATGCATGGTTACTGTAACAATGAGGTTAACAAGCAGAGTTCAGCGTCTGGGCCGCGTTCCGGCGCTTTGTTTTCTGGCCCTGGTTCTTTGGGACATTCCTGGGACCTGTGCACTGGACAATGGCTTGGCAGTGACCCCTACCATGGGCTGGCTACACTGGGAGCGCTTCATGTGCAACACCGACTGCAAAGAAGAGCCGGATTCCTGTATCAGGTATCGGAAACATTGGGTACCCCCTTCCATTCGCCTTTCCCTGTGTTTGGAGGGGTAGAGGGTCTCAGCGGGAACATTTGAGCCTGAGGGACATCTTCCTACTGCTGCCGCTTTCTATTCCCAGCAAACTGTCCCGGATGGGGACTAGCCCTAAGTTTTCTCCGTATGACCCCTTCTGGGATGGGAGTCCAGCCAGCGGGCCCTGCTTCCGGCTTCTCGGTCTCTACCGGATTACCCAGCTAGGGACTTTATCCATTTACCATCCAGTTCCGGTCAGACCCTTCTTGTGAGCTGCTTCTCTGCCTCACTAGAGCCGGTACTAGCAGCGAGCACAGCTGCGGTGAGTAGGAGAGTCAGAGGACTTCTTTTCTTCTTTTGGGTCACAGGGTTCCTTGACTGTAACGTGAGGGAGTTTAGAGAGACCATGGAGTGCCTGCGATCTCCCCCACCCTCTTGCCCTTGAGTGATGTCTGGGTAAAAGGTTGACCTATAGGAACTTTATACGTGCATACCTCGCTTTTTTGCGCTTCGCTTTATTGTGCTTCACTGATGTATTTTTCCCCCCCAAACTGAAGGCAAGACTCTATCAGCAAAAAGATTAGGATTTGCTTTATTTGCTGTGGTCTGGAACAAAACTCGCAATATCTCCGATGTATGCCTGTATATGGAGGCCAAGGGCTGAGGATTGTTGGCTTGCAAACTGGCCAGGAGCATCCTTAGGTGTAGTCTGAAACCACCCCAGTAAAGGAGAGCTGGGAGAAACCCACGAAAGTGGCAGACCACTCCAAATTAGTAGGTAGCGGTTTTAATGAGAGAGGGAATTTACCTAGGCAGATTGTCTTGCGAGGCTGCAAGACAATTTTTCCACACCTGCCGGCCAAAGAAAAGTTTGCACAGAGGCCTTAGTTGGGTTCAGTCACATACAGGATACCTCAGATATTGCAGGTTTGGATCCAGACCACCGCAATAAAGTGAGTCACTCTTTTTGCTGGTTGAAAGTCTTGCCTTCAATTTTTGGGGGTTTAAAAAAAAAATGCAACATCTGTGACACACAATAAAGTGCAACAATGCGAGGTATGCCTGTGTACTGCCCTTACAGTACCAATACACTCCTACCTCAAGGCTGCATCCTAGGGTCAGCTTCTTGGAGGAGGAAGGCAAGCAGAATGCACATTCCAAGGACAGGGGTTGGAGTGAGGAGCCGCCAGTTGTCTGGATCCACTGGGAGGGTCAACATCTTATTGCTGAACTTCCCCAATGAGGCTGGATAAGACAAGTTTTGAACTTATCTGATCCACACTCTCCTTGTCTATAAATTGGGAATAACAACTCTTTTTTTTTCATTTTTTTAAAATTTATTGATTTTGAGAAAGAGAGAGAAATATCAGTCCACTGCTTTACCCATTCATACACTCATTGGTTGACTCATGTATGTGCCCTGATCAGGGACTGAACCTGAAACCTTGGCATATGGGGAAAATGCTCCAACTAACTGAGCTACCTGGCGAGGCCTGGGAATAACAACTCTAACCTCGGGGAATTGATTCAAAAGGATCTTTAAAATAGTTTTGATTTTTTAAAATTTCAATTACAGTTAACATGCAATATCATATTAGCTTCAGATATACAACATTGTGATTAGACATTTATATAACTTACAAAGTGATCACCCTGTTAAGTCTAGTACCCATCTGTCATATCAATTTCTTTTTTTATTGTTTGTTGGGGTGACCCTGGTTAATAACAGAATACTTCTTAAACATGATAAAGACACATACAGTGCAGAGGCCCCTCTAAAAGCAGTGGTTATGATATATGCCAGTGCCCATAAGTTATTCCTATGAATGTCTTTACAGCTTTACAGATAAAGTCAGGATGTTGAGCAAACATCACAGAAATAATTGACCTTCTGAGTTTCAGATTAAGTCCATTGTGACCCTGGGGTAAACTGTGTAGCAGTTGTGCCCATCACATATAGTTTCTTGTCTTTTCATTTTTTTCTAAGTGATAGTTGTCTTATTTTTATACCTGATTATAAAATTAATGCATGATCAATGCAAAAAATGTAGATAGTAAAGAAGAATATAATGAAAATAAGGATTCCCCTCATTCCACCACTCAAATAATCATGGTTAAAATGTCAATATACAGCCTTGGAATAGTTTTCTAGTAAATAACACAAATTTCTTCTTTCATTTTTTTTTTAAAGATTTTATTTATTTACTTTTAGAGAGATGTGAAGGGAGGGAGAAAGAGAGGGAAAGAAACATCAATGTGTGGTTGCCTCTTGTGCGCCCCTTACTGGGGACCTGGCCTGCAACCCAGGCATGGGCCCTGACTGGGAATCGAACCAGCGACCCTTTGGTTTGCAGGCCAGCACTCAATCCACTGAGCCACACCAGCCAGGGCTGTTCTTTCATTATTTTCAATAAAAATGAGATCATGTTTATGTTGTGAATTGTTAACAATGTTGAATTTTGCTTGCCCGTGTTCAAATTTTCGTTCATTGCTACTTAGCCTTGTGACCTTGGCAAATTAATTACCCTTCCTAAAAGTAAGCAGAATACCTGGCCCAGAATAAAGAGGTTCATAAATGCAAATTGTATGTGTATACTATAATTTATTTAAGCAAATTCCTGTTGATAGCTATTAAGGCTCTTCAATTTTTCATTATTGTGAACAAAACTATGCATCACTGTACATCATCTGATTCTTTCCTTAAAAGTCTAATTACTGGGTCCAAATGTGTGCTCATTTTGTGACATATCAAACTGTCCTCCCCAAAAGTTTTTCAAATGCACATTCCCAACAACAGTAAATGAGAATGTCTGTTTCCCCACACCCTGGCCAACACTGCATTTTGATCACTCTTTTAAAACTTTGCCAATCTGGTAGGTGTTTTTATTTTCATTTGTTAAATTGGCTCTTTGCATGGTTTCTTTTATGGATTGCCTATTTGTGTTATTTCCCTATTTTTCAATTGCAATGTTTTTTTGTTTGTTTTGGGGAGGTTGTTTGCCTTTTGGATTTTTTTTGTTGTTTTGCCTACCATATATTGTGAATATAGTGGTTGTTGCTATATGTTGATTTTGATATTTATATGTCAAATATCAGTTTTTTCCTTTATTATTTCTGACTCTGGCATCATGCTGAAAAGTCCTTTCCTGCCTGAACATAATACAGTCATCTATATTTTCTACTAGTATGTTTAAGGATTTTTAAAATATTTAAATCTTTAATCCATCTGGCCTTTATTCCCCTATAAAGAATGCCACATTTAATATTAATTAAATTCCATGGTACCAAATGGCAGGAAGGATCTCTTTCTGAACTTCCTCTTTAATTCCATTGATCTATGTATTCTAATGCTATCGGTACTACAGCAGCTTCATTTATCTTTTGGAGAATGATCACGTATTTAATCTTTTAGGTGAACCTTTCAAATCACGTAGCTAAGTTCCTTAAAAAGTCCTTTTGGGATTTGTTCAGGGTTTTATTAAATGCATAAAGATGCATAGGGAGAATTAACTTCTTTTTAATATTGAGTCTTCTTATCCAAAAGCAAAATAATATCTTAAATTTATCTCTAGATATTTTAGGTTTTCCTGTTGCTTTTTTGGTTGCTCTTGTCAATGGTATCTTTTTCTATAACTAGGTTATTGTTGCTATCTAAGGAAGCTGTTAATTATGTTAACTTTGTAGTTTCTAACTTAACTAAACTTTCTTCTTAGTTCTAATAGCTTTTTCAGTTTCATGTGTTTTTCATTTCTATTATAATTGTTCATGGATCTTAGGGAGGAAGTATTAAGAGTGGAGGGGAAGAAGAAAAAGGGCCCAGTACATTTTAACTTGCATTGGTTGTGATTACTACCCAGCTATTACTGGGTTGAGAGAAATTGGAAATCTCAAGGTGCCTAACAAATAGGAGGCGCCCAAGCACTTGTTTAATGAACTGTAATGATTCTTAGAATTTCTCTTGCAGTGAGAAGCTCTTCATGCAAATGGCAGATCTCATGGACTCAGATGGCTGGAAGGAAGTAGGGTATGAGTACCTCTGCATTGATGACTGTTGGATGGCTCCCCAAAGAGACTCGAAAGGCAGACTTCAGGCAGATCCTGTACGCTTTCCTAGCGGGATCCGCCACCTAGCTAATTATGTGAGTTTATAGATAATTTTCCTTTTCATTCAGGAGACTAAACGCTTCTATATGGAAACCTGTTCAAAAACACTTAGAAAGTAAAATAGCTGCCATTATCTGAACATTGAATTGTAAGGCTTCTCAGGTGGAATTGTCATCCCATCAGCAGATACATGTTTTGCATTAGTTCCTGAGGCCCATCTTAGATAAGTTCTCCTTTTGCTGAAACAACTGAATTCTCTGGGAAGAAAAAGGAACTTGGTTTTTGACATATGTGTGCATATATTTCCATATAAGCTTTGAGCAGTATTGCAATTGTACTATAAACTAGAATTTTAGAAGATGGGAGGAATTCTTGCTAGAGACTGTTAATGATTAATAGAACCAACATTAATTAAAGGCACTGAAGACATTTTATTCAGTACTGTTGCAGTAAGAGAAGGAGGCAGGCTCAATTCTGAATATAACAAAGATGAGTGGGGATTTATAGCCTTCAAGCAAATCGAGAGGATCAGTAAATGGAAAATTACTAAGGGGAGACATCAAGGGAAGGAAAATTCTTGCTAAAGATAGGCCAAGGATTTAGACATCACAAATGGGAGATAAGGAATTTGATTATGTATCAAAGAGTGGGAGGAAGACTTAGCAGGATTCTTGCTAAGTGGACACTGAAGGCCAAGGTTGAGGCCTCATTAAGAAGAGGGCTCAGAGGAATCTAACCAATGTTCCGTAAAGGATAGAGTCTGTCCAGATAAATCTGACATTGCCCTGGAAAGGTAACTTTTGGGTTCCCATCAGAGGATGATGACAATGGCTGATAGCTTTCTCTTCAGTTCTATTCTATAGCTTATATGTGTAGTTTGAACTCAGCAGAATTGGAGAATTTACTCTTTGTCTCCCAACAAACTCATCTGGATAATTATGGGGACTTGTGGGAAAAAATGCCCCTGATACCTGGTGAAATGCATTTGTCTCTTGTCATAGACCAGAGTGGTTCTCTCTTCTGCTTCATGACTGCCCTTCCACTGTGGTGACTCTTTCCTCTCATTTCAGGTCCATAGTAAAGGACTGAAGCTAGGGATTTACGCAGATGTTGGGAAAAAAACCTGTGCAGGCTACCCTGGGAGTTTTGGATACTATGACATTGATGCCGAGACCTTTGCTGACTGGGGAGTAGATCTGCTAAAATTTGATGGTTGTTACTGTGACAGTGTGGAACAGTTGGCAGATGGTATGTTTCATTCAAGAGATTTAGCCATGAGCAAAGAGAAGAACTTTGAGGCCAAGGTAACTGAGCATCCACAGAACTAATCTTCCCATTTTAAGTACCCAGTCACAATACAGGAAATAATTATTCTCAATGTGCCAAAGCTCCTACTGCTTCTCTTACTTCAGTTTGTCCATGCATTCATTCATTCATGCACTGCAGAATCCATGCTTGCCTAACTATGGCTAATACTGTATACTTTTCATTCAAGAGGGCTCTGAATTCATTACAAATAGTAATTCTGTCTATAACATCATTTGGTAAAGCATCAGAATATCATACAGTGGCAGAAAAGGGGCATCTTCATGCCTGCCTTTTCTCAATATATGCACCATCCCATAGGACATCTTCAGAACAATCCCAGCAGTCTAGGATGTATTAGACACAGTTCCAGCATGGAGCAGCCACGTATCTCTGGTGCTGGTTTAAAATAAAAGCATGGCCCTTCTAGGCAGCCTCTTTTTTAAAAATTGATTTGAAAGAGAGAGGAAGGGAGAAAGAAACATCAATTTGTTGTTTCACCTATTTATGTATTGATTGTTTCATTATTCTATGTGCCCTGACTGGAGATTGAACTCACAACCTTCGCATATCAGGACAACGCTCTAACCGAGCTACGCAGCCAGGGCCAGGCAGCCTCTTTTTCATGCTGTACAGCACCCCCCCCCCCGGAAATTCCCTTCCTCCCTTTATTTTACCCATTTTTTTCTCATACAGGTTATAGGCACATGTCCTTGGCCCTGAACAAGACTGGCAGAAGCATTGTGTACTCCTGTGAGTGGCCCCTTTATATGTGGCCCTTTCGGAAGGTGAGGTAGTGAGTCCAGAATCCAACAGAGCCTTGGAAATAGATTTTTAGGACTTGAGAACAAAGGTCTCCTTCAAAGTCCCACCTTACTTAACAGTCTCATCCTACCATCTCTCGCAGGATCCAACCAACTTCTTACCATCCCCACTGCTACCACCACTTGGGAAGTCAGTCATCTTTGATTCTTCCCTTCGTCTCACCTGTTCACCACCTATCCATCAGCAATCCTATCAGTACTATCTACAAAATAAATCCTGAATCAGCTCATTTCTCTCCATCTCTGCTGCATCCCTCTTGGTCTTTCTAACTACCATCGTCTCACATCCAAACTGCTCCCAACAGCCTGATCTCTATACTTCCACTCTCGCCCTATCCCCATCCATTTTCCAACCAGCACCCCAGTGTTGTTAAAATGTAAATAGAGTCATATCACTTCCCTGCTTGAAATGCTTAACTGGCTTCCCCTTGCACTTGGAATACAAACTCTACTGTTCTGGCCCTGGCCTACCTCTCCAACCTCATCCCATCACTTTTGCCATCACTACACTGCTGTTCTTTTGTCCCTCAAACACTCCAAGCCTATTGTTGCCTCAAGGCCAACTAAGCCCTTAGCACTATATAGAATTATGTGTTGAGTGGCTTATTGTTTGTCTCCTCCACTAGAATGTAAGCTCCAGGAGGGCAGGGACATTGTCTGACTTTATCACTATATCCCTAGCATATGGTAAGTATTGTATAATTATAGAATGAATCCCTGTTATTTCCTTCTAATCTCTGTAATATACTCTTCACCTCTTTCCCAACATCTTAAACTTTGGCTATCCCCCGTGCCTATTTACAAACTTTTATTTGTTCAATTAACATATTATATGCCTAGGATTCAGATTGCCTTATCGTGTTTAATGAGTTCTATGTAACTTTGCAGCTGTTTTCACTTATTAAGATCATTTATTTCTGAGTATAAAAGCAATAGATGTTCATTTTAGTTTGAAAATACAGTGAGGTGTGACGAAAATTTAAATCCTCCGTAATTCCAGTACCTAGTTACCATTTGGTAAATTTCCAGCATAAACATTGTTTAAGCCACTTTAAAGTAGGGATTTTAAGTTATATTGCCTACTTCTGAAGCAAATTTCTTACAATGAAATTGTATTCCAATAAGGATTTAGCTTTCCTCCTGGAGACCTTTAAGCTGTAAACTAAAGAGAAGGCTACAAGTGCTTTCCTTCTATTTTCAAAAAATATGACTATTTTCATCTTGCAAGAATGTTAGTAGAAGGTAAATGGTAGAGTGAACTCTTTTTTTCACAGCCTAATTATACAGAAATCCGACAGTACTGCAATCACTGGAGAAATTCTGGAGACATTTATGATTCTTGGCAGAGTGTAAAGAGTATCTTGGACTGGACATCTTCTAATCAAAAGACAGTTGTTAGTGCCGCAGGCCCCGGGGGCTGGAATGACCCAGATATGGTAAGGATCTGACCCCCATGTTCAAACCCCTACAGCGGGTCTGTTTCCTAATTGACATCAAGGTAAATTGGCAAGTTCCTATGAGCAGGCTTTATGTGTGAGTGCTCAGAGCAGGGTGCCACGGAAAGTGGCTTGTTTTCTCATTTGAATTCTAATTTCATTCTTTGTCCCAGTTAGTGATTGGCAACTTTGGCCTCAGCTGGGATCAGCAGATAACTCAGATGGCCCTCTGGGCTATCATGGCAGCTCCATTATTCATGTCCAATGACCTCCGACACATCAGCCTTCAAGCCAAAACGCTCCTTCAGAATAAGGATGTAATTGCCATCAACCAGGACCCCTTGGGCAAACAGGGATACCTACTTAGAAAGGTATAGTAAATAATGTTCGATGGGTAAAAACAGGACTTGGCCTGGAACATGTTCTCCCGACTTCTAGTTTACTGTTCATCCAAATGTTTATTTTGGTGTGTAAGATGGCTTTAAGATGTTTAAGTCTGTCTTGGGCCTAAAGCTGGCACATATGAAGACATAACACTGGTCTTTTGAGAATATATTTTTTTAAGCTTAACAGAATCAGTAATGAAGGTTTTTGGTAGATTTCCCAAATATGCTGCAGGATAACTTTTAATTTTCCCTGTAAGGGCTTGATAATTCTGACAGTTATGACTAAATGCCACAAGGAAGCTTATTGCCAGTCACCAAGCTATCACCTATTTTCTTGGCTTACTTTTCAGGAAGACAACATTGAAGTATGGGAACGCCCTCTCTCTAATTTAGCCTGGGCTGTGGCTATGGTAAACCTGCAGGAGATTGGTGGACCTCGTTCTTATACCATCAATATTGCATCCCTGGGTCAAGGAGTGGCCTGCAATCCCGCCTGTTTTATCACAGAGCTCCTCCCTATGAAGACAAAGCTTGGGTTTTATGAATGGACTTCTTGTTTAAAAACTCGAATAAATCCCACAGGCACTGTTTTGCTTCTATTAGGTAGAAGCCAGGCATTTCAAAAGCTTCCTTAGCCCTGGTTGGGTGGCTCGGTTGGAACGAGCGTTGTCCCATACACCAAAAGGCTGCAGGTTTGATCCCAGGTCAAGGCACATACCCAGACTGTAGGTTCAATCCCCAGATGGGGTGCTTACAGGAGCAATTGATGTCTCTCTTCCTCTAAAATCAATAAACATAGTCCCCTCTTCCCCCAGGTTGAAGATTTAAAAAAAGAAAAAGCTTCCTTAAAAATTTTTATTTTGTTGCAAAAGTGACTACCCTACTTCTGTTCTTCCATTCCTACTTCAGCTGTTCTTAAATTTCTCTACAAAAACCAGTAAGGCACAAAAGGCCCACTCAGAATACAAAATGTTTTCATTCCTTTGCCTGTCATGTTATTACCAGTTATTTTCAATAAAACTGGAAAACTAATTATTGTCAGTTCATAAAAATTGCAATAAAATTGGTAAACTCAAGACAGTTATCCAGACACAGATTTGGAAGCAAACTGCTCCATCTCACTGATGCACTTTCACTTACCAAATGCATATTCACTTTGCCATCCAGTTTTGCTGCACAAGAATGAAGAGCTGAGTGTATATGTAATAGTATACAAAGACAAAAGGGATGTGAATTTGAAGCTTAGGCATTTAAAGGAATGGATTAGCACTGCCAGATTCCATTGAGGATTTTAATTCACTAGAAATTAAATCCTTTTCATAAAATGAATTTACATCTACTAAACTTGAGGGGGCAAGTCAAAATACTCAGGTGGTATGAGAAGTCTGAAGACATGTAATACATAGTACGTTGGTGCCTAGAGAACAGGGCCCAAATTCCTCATTAAATGACTGAAGTTGCCAAGGTATGTGAGACAAATTATTCCACTCTTGGTAAACTTTACATTCATTCACTATGGATATAATTGTTACTGAGCTCACGCTGTTCAAGTTTCAGGTCTCTGCTTACATTCCAAGATAAGCAATTAACACTTCTTAACAGCAAAAGGGAGCCCAGGAATTAAACCATCACATGTGAGTTCAGTCAGATTAATTCAAAATTAGTAAAGGACCCAAGAACCAGTAAGTATAAATTTCCCCTTGTAAACATTATTTTATCTGCCACCCAAAGACACCAATTTCAACCACATGAAGCGAACATATCCTCAAGATTTTATTGTCACATAATAAAACAAAAAATGAAGCTTAGAACTGGATCACTTGGCCCTGTAAAAGAACAAAACAATGAGTTTTTTTTTTTTGTATTTTGCAAAGAACCTCTAACTCCATCAAGCAGTGTCTATTCCTAAAGGGATCACCATTCTTTATTAAGGTAAGTCTCATTCGCCCTTTTCTACTCATGCTGAACACCACCAAAACCTTACACCTCACCTACAGATCAAGTACTTTTAAGAGGACTGTCCGTGATCTTGATGCCACAATAAATTAGTGGGCAGAAATGTTCATCCTTCCACCCCAAATTGTATACCTTTCTCTTCTTATCTCCTCCCAGTTCAAAATGCTTGCATCTCTTAATGGCCAACATTCTCTTAGATCTGCAGTTGGGCTCAACACATTCAAGCCTCAGCACAATCTTCTTTGTAGTTTTAGCCTGGAAAAGAAAAAGATATCCTTCATAAATCACTGCAGAAAGTCTTTCTTCAAAAATATGACTATGTTGGGTTATGTACTACCTTCAAGCAAAGTGTTGCGAAGAGTTGTAACAATGTCATTAGCTATAGGGAGAAAACAGAAATGTGAAAACCAGTGGATTTAAAGCAAGAATGTATTGGGTTGGCCAAAAATTCATTTCTCTGTAAGATGGCTCCACTAACACTTAGTTGTCTTTAACTTCATTCAAAATAATTTTGACTGTGACAGCTGTTGTATCAGCATGAATTTTAAAAAATCTAAATTGGTGAATCTTTGTATAGCCATTTTGTTATTGAAGATGGAAGGAAATGTCACAATTTTGGAGTATTGTACTTTATTATTTCAAGAAAGGTAAAAGCAATTGGAATGCAAAAAAAAAAAATGTGTGCAGTGTGTGGAGAAGGTGCTGATTGAACGTCTCCAAAGTGGTTTGCGAAGTTTCATGCTGAAGATCTCTCACTAGATGATGCTCCATGGTCAGGTAGACCCTTTGAAGTTGATAGCAATCAAATCGAGACAGAGAATAATCGCCTTTATACCAGGCGGGAGATAGCTGGCATAGTTAAAATATCCAAACCAACAGTTGTTGGTGAAAAAGAAGAATTATATATCTTGACCAACATAGTAACAGCAAAGGTGGCAGGTTATCTAATTGCCATCAAGTTCTCCATTCACAGACTCCTAGAGGGCTTCTTATCAAATATGCATTCATCATACCACCTTGAACTTGTGGCTGTTCAACATCTTTACATAGGTATTCCACACAACCAAAAATGGATCATCCGAGTCCACACACTATGAAATAAACACAGCTTTTGCAATGCATTTAAATAGGGTGAACAACTGTTATTTAAGACCTATCAATTCTCTGGAGTCTACCTACAATTACATCTAGAATTTGTGTATTCAAATATATTCCTGGGTGTCCAACCCATGGCCCAGGATGGCTATGAATGTGGCCCAACACAAAATCACAAATTTACCCAAAACCTTTTTTGCTCCTCAGTTTTTGTTAGTGTTTGTGTACTTAATGTGTGGCCCAAGCCAACTCTTTTCTTCCAGTGTGCCCAGGCGCCAAAAGATTGGACACCCCTGCTTTAACTCAAGGTACACTCCCCATGAATACAACTTTAAGCCTGTCCTTGTAATCAGAATTCTATTGCTGTTAGGTTGCAGTTCTCAAAAAAAACCCAAAACCTAGCTGGAACCTCCCCATCTTCTGAACAAGTTACTTGAATGTGATAGGCTAAGCATTCCTTTCATCACTTTGAGATCAAATCATTTATTGCAGCTGAATGATAAATGAACACTCGAGTCATTCCTTAATACTTGCTGGTACCAAGCTAAATGAAGAGCAAAGTGCCAAAAGAAACACTGTTTTCATGGGAATGCTATTCCAGGCACTGTGTACTTTAAGGAGCGGCCAAATCACCTAGGGTAACAACACATTCAGTCTGAAAATGACAGAATTCAGGTGGGTGGTTGGAGGCCTAAATGGCTATTTTAAAGAGCTTTATAACTTCATGAGACAGGCAGCAGACTCATTGCAGGCTTCTGAGCCGAGAAGCAAAATTAAGGAACACTTCTTAGTGCAAGCAAGAGCTGAAGATTCCCGAGGACCTGACAGAAACAGGGCAAAGTACTGGTACACTCAAACTTCAGTACTTACAAAGACTGGGTACATTCCCTAACTTCATGTTTGCCTCTTCAAAAACAAAAAGACAAAAAAATATAAACATTGCAATGGTGCAGTACTGTAAACTAGAGTCAGACCTACATTGTTGCGCTCCCAGCTCCCCTGCCTACTAGGTATGTCACTGCAGGTGACTGAAGACAACTTTGCTGCAACTATGCAAACACATACCTGTATTGTGCAGCTGCGTGGGCTAACAACAAATGCAAGGTCTTTAGCAGTCAGTAAGAAACATGTCAAATATTTACCACCCACCTTTTTTCGGAAAATTGGCTTAGTCTGCCCACCATAGCCACTCTGCTTCCTGTCATAACGCCGCTTTCCTGGGATAAGTAAAGTTATCTGTTACAGTATACCAAAGATAATAAACCACAACAGCCACACCAAAAACCTTTCTTATGGTTTTTATCTTGGGGTTTCCAGCAGAAATATCAATGCCCAAGCCACGGGACGGTGGGTCGGGGATGGAGGGCGGTCTAGGCTTGTGTATTATACTACCACAAATGCCAATTTTAAACCAAATCCCATACAAAAAGACCATCTTACCCTGCGCATACAGAGAATCTTTACCCTTCTTGTACTGTGTTACTTTGTGGGGTTGATGCTTGCCGCACTTCTTACAGAAAGTCCGGCGGGTTTTAGGAACGTTCACCTAGTAAATAAACCGATGAGAACGTGCAGTGTTTATAAGATGCCAATGACACAACGCCCAGTTCACACTATGGCAGCCCATGAAGACTCGACTCTCAAAGTCCTCGCTAACAGTCTGACTAGAAGGTGGTTCAGCCCCACGTGCTTCTCATACAGCAGCCTCCGATGAGCCCAAAAGTGGAAAAAAAGCATAGTCACTCCACCCCCGGTTATGTCTACGTCTGATCCCATCACTTTAATCCCTGGACCCGAAGACATGTCCCTCCTGGGTCGAACCCGGGAAAACTGGGTTTCTTCGCTACAACCAGTCCACGGAGGGACCTGGACCCATTCCGGAATGGTACCGTCTACGGTGGATGGAAGATTACACTGGATACTACATGTCCCAACCCCAAAGTCCTACCATGCTTGCGAGAGCTCTAACGGCACAGAAAGGAAGAAGCTAGGCCGGAAATGAAAGTATATAGGAGGTTCCTAGTCGCGCTTCCTCATGGGAGTTCGTGGGAGAGACCATAGAGTCTAAGACCCTGTGCACAGCGCCCTCTAGCGTCTCAGAGGACTCTAGTTGGAGCCGCGGACGGGAGTTAAGGAAGGGCTCTGCCTAAGACTTCCTCCCACCCCCTAGCTTTGAGACTTTTCCTCACTTAATCACGTCCCGCTGACACTGATTTGGTGCATCGTTAAGTTAAGCAAGCAGTGCTCTTATATCCACTCTGGCCTCCATCTCCCCATCCTCAATGGAAGTCAGGACTAGGGTCAAGTGGAGGGGCCCATCACCTGCATGTTCCTTCCATTTCTGTTCCACCTCAGGGACACTGGGACGACCATCTTTTGCAGCCAACTTCTGGTTCACTGAAGGCTAGGAGAGGGCCAATGCGCTAGTTCATCTGTCACATGACCAGTTCGTCCATTCAACAAATGTGTTGGGCACAATAATCAAATAATCATGCTCATAAATGTTTAATTACCGACTAAGTACCTTGTAAAACAAGAACAATGATCAGCATTAAAGCTGCCCATGTTGGTTGAGGGAGCAAGTTGACTGCCTTAGGTTCTGAAAAGTGAGAATGAAATTGTTCAGCTCCTGCAATAGCAATAACCAGGTCAAGGGATAGAAAGCATCCAGCAACTCTTCCCTTCCCTGTATACCTGTATGAACAAAAAAGAGTCCACAGACTGAACTTGACAAACTCAGGGAGAGGCCTGCATGGCAGGCCTAACAAACTCAATGACAATAAGTAACTATAGGATGGTTTGATCGTTGAAATTCTTATCTGGACCAATTAAAGAGGGGGAAATGTTCAAAGCAGTATTACCTGGTTTCTCTGCAGACTTTCTTCTTCCCCAGCGGCCCACCAATGGTATTACTCCAAATCTCAATGGTCCAGCTGTGTTAGACTCTCTCCTTTTTTTTTAAACTGGTCCATGCAGCACTATGCATGGTTTTATTTTAGTTTCAGGTAGAGTTAACTGTAATTAGACTGTAGTAAG